ATACACACGCATGCACGTCGTCATATGAGCGAAATATTCTCAAGCACGACGTTAAACCAAATTTCACCTCACCTCATATTTTATATATAAGTAGTTCCGAAAGACAAGGAACATACTACAAATATAGCCTGTTACCCTTGGCATCACGTATGAATAAGTGAAAACATAGAGTAAGTTATGTCCGTATGATTACGTCATCTGAAAGGGGGGTGGGTAGTGTCTCCAAAACAAACTCTTTCAGTAAACATGAAGGGGGAGTCACTTCAACAAGCGATTGTAGTTTCAAATTGCTTTTTTATGCACTTTAAAATCTAAGTTTGATTCTAGTGGACTTCTGCATATCTCAAACACAAAATGTTTCTTGCATATTTTGTTTCCTGAAGTTTGTGGTGCATTTATTGCAGATTTTGCGTTTTTTGGGGGGTACCAAGATAAAGAGTCAAACAAAATGGGCATCGTGAGGCTGGAACATAGCAAAACCGATTTGCTTGAGGTTGACAGATATAATATGTAGAAAGATATTGCATAAAAACAGTTGCACTTGTAGCATTTTCTAGGTGAGGCTGACTACTTTTTGAGCGCCCCTCGTATATCAATGATATATATGATATAATCAAATTTGAATCCGCAGAGTGAGTAAGTGAGTGAGTGAGTATGGTTTTAAGCCGCTGTTAGCAATATTTGAGTAATATCACGGCGGGGGACACCCGAAATGGGCTTCACACAAGTTACCCATGTGGGGAATCGAACTTGGGCCTTCGGCGTGACGAGCAAACGCTTTAACCACTGGGCTACCCCACCTCACCGAATGACCTGAATGATCTTGACAGGTCAAATTCACCAAAAAATATTCTCGTTCACAGGATTCGTTTTACGTACATCAGTATTTTATCCAAATCGATCAAGGTTAAAATTAATCTTCAGCAACCCTTGCTTGTAATAAGATGCGAAAACAAGAAAGCACTAGGTGAGGCTCGCTGACTTGGTTGTCATGTTATCGCAGTCCACTTGCGTAGATCGATGCTCACGATGTCAATCACTGGATTGTTTGGTCTCGATTATTTACAGACATAACGGAAACATTGCTGAATGCGGCGTTCAACAACACGTATATACACAAAGAACTTAATTAAGCACCCCTGTATTTTTGCAATGATAGGTTTTCAACACGTACATAAAACTTGTGGTGACCACGTTTTTCTGACCCGTATGATCCGTTGACTAATAGAAAACGACAAAATGAGTGGAATCCATGTTGATTATATTATGATAATTGCTCATTTAAAACCCCCACTTATTGTCATACAAAACAATGTCTGTACAAGTATGGTCCTGGAATGTTGAATGTTGAATTTATTGGTGAATGTGAACATTCAAAATGTCATTTTGCGTGTCTTACACGATTCAAAGTCAATACCGAGTGTAACCTCCATGTGACTGTATGACAGTCAGCACTCCTCCTCCTCATACCTCCTGTCAGCCTCCTGATCCTCTGAAGGCCAGTCTACGTAATTCCTCGTGTAAAGCAGCTTCCAACTGGGCCGGGTTCTGTACAGGAGGATCCCTTTGTCGCACACAACGACCAATCAAGTCCCAGATATGCTCCAAAGGGTTAACACATTTAAGATGTGGCAGCCATGTGGCTACTTAACTCAACGTTTTTTGACGTAATGTCGCGTTGTTGCATTTTCGCCTTTGTGTGAAAGTAAAAAAACCCAACAAACTTTTAATTTAATTTTTATGACATACTTACTGGTCAACATATCACGTTGTGGTATCGCCATGTTTCGGTAAAGTGTGACCTATTTTGCTTGGTTTTGTGAGGGCGAAAACAGGACAATGTCCCTCCTGCAATTCCATATGATAGTGAGGTGAAATTGGGTTTAACGTCGTGCTTGAGAATATTTCGCTCATATGACGACCATATGATAGTGACTCATAGCGACATATATGACTGCATCCATTACATTAAAATACCTTGCTGCCTTGACATAATAGGCCTTGGGATAGATTAAATGCCATACGCAACTGCCACCAAAGCTTTACGTGTGTTTGGGAACATGTCAATAAGGGAACATATTCATAAATTTCTTTTCAAATATCCAGGTGACAGATCCACCGTAACGGGAATGAATGTAATATTATAATGTATTGAGAATACACGTGTCATGCCGAGGGAAACAAGCAAAATATCATTTGTATGTTGTGAATATGTGTTTCGTTGTTGGTGAAATGAATGAATAGCCGTTGGTGAGTGAGTATGGTTTTACGCCGCTTTTAGTAATTTTCCAGCAATATCCCTCGGGGGACACCAGAAGTATGTTTCACACATCGTACCCTGTGGAGAATCGAATCTGGGACGAGCGAACGTTTTTATCACGAGGCTACCGACCGCCCCAATCGTTGATAAAACTATGTATGTATGTATGTATGTATGTATGTATGTATGTATGTATGTATGTATGTATGTATGTATGTATGTATGTATGTATGTATGTATGTATGTATGTATGTGGTGTATGTGTGTGGATGTGTATGTATGTATGCATGTGTGTTGTATGTGTGTGCGTGTATATATGTGTGTGTGTGTGTATATATATATATATATGTGTGTGTGTGATATATATATATATGTGTGTGTGTGGATGTGTATAATGTATTTGTGTGGTTGAATATGGTTGTGTGTTAGGATGTGTGTGAATCTGTTTCTCTCTATTCCACTCTCTCACACACACATACTCTGTAAATAAACATGGCTAACTTCAGTAACCCATACTTGTCGTAAACGGCAACGGAATCAAGTGCTCAGACTGTATTAGAAATGAATCTCTGTCTTTTAAAGATATTTTTCAAGTTGAGAGATATGTTGCTAGAATGAAAAACCAAACAAATGATTGTATGAGCAAATGGTTACCATTCTTACATGGACTGATGTGTCATGACTCTTCAACATGCTTAAAGTAGAATTTTGAGATAGTGAATTACAACTGTGCCTATTCATGGATGGGAAAAGGCATACATCTTTATATATATAAGCTTAATGAAAAACCAACCTGATGAATGTGGAGCAAAAGGGCAGCCATTACTTACAACATGGTCTGATGTGTCATGACTCGTCAATGTGTACAATGTATGATCTTTGTGTAGTAATATTTGAATGTACCTACTCACGGCCGAAGAAAGACAGTGTGGATTAATGCGTTGTGAATTATCAACATGCACAAGCCTGTATTAGGTATGACCTCTGTAGAATAATGTATGAATGTTCCAAAGGTATGTTGCTACAATGAAAACAAACCAAATAATCCTACGTGCAAACAGGTACTAGTACCTACAGCACCGACTTACCGAATTGCTCAACCATGTATGATCCTTACTGTACAACCTTATATGAGTTTTGTATAAAATGAATGTACCTGCTGATGTGAATAAGAAATAGTGGGAAAAAAGTGCTCAGACTCGCTGATTTGACTTGATGCATGTTGTTCGTATCCCATTTGCGTATATCGATGTTCTTGATGTCAATCACTGGATTGCCTGGTCATACCCGGATAGTTACAGATCGCCGTCATATAGCTGGTAGTAATAGTAGCATTAGCAGTAGTGTCATTAGTGGTGATGTCAGTGATAGCGGCACTATTGCAGGGTCGGATCCAGGATTTTGGAGAATGGTTGGGGGGTTGGGGGAGTAGGTGCACACAAATAATGAAGTCCAAAGGTTAGGGGGAAATAATAATAATATAATACTGGAAATTTATATAGCGCTAAATCCAACCACTAAGTGGGTGCTCAAAGCGCTACAAAATAATATGTTTGAATAGAGTTAATAGTGCAACGAAAGAGATGCGTTTTAAGATGTGATTTGAACGCAGCAAAAGATGGGGGCAGTTTTAAGGCGAGGGGCAGTTCATTCCACAGCGATGGAGCACAAACACTGAAAGAACGCTTTCCATAAGAGGCCAGTCTATAAGAAGGTGTTTTCAAAAAGAATCTACTTTCAGATCGCAGTTGTCTGGATGGTTTGTAGGGGGTTAGCAGTTCACTTAGATATTCTGGTGACATGCCTTTTAGACTCTTGAACGTGATACAGAGTACTTTAAACACTATCAAGCCAGTGTAATGACTTCAGTATCGGCGTAATGTGAGAGTACTTTGGGGCACGTGTAACGATTCTTGCCGCTACATTTTGGACTTTTTGAAGTCTCCTCAGAGATTCTTTACTGATGCCTAGAAGCAAACTGTTCGCATAGTCCAACCTCGAGAGTACCAAACACTGTACTAATGTCTTGGCTGCATCAAGTGATATCAGATGACGAATTTGACTGATACATCTGAGATGATAAAAACAGGTCTTGCACAAATTGTCAACTTATAATCCATGCACAACTCGGAGTCAAAATAGACACCAAGGTCTTTTACCCGGGATGAGAAGTCTACAACAGAGTTGCCAATCACAAGTTTTAAGTTCTTGTCAGTTGACATCTGAAGCTGTTGCTTAGAGCTTACCAACATAGCCTCAGTATTTCCATCATTAAGTTCAGTTTGCTACATGTCATCCAAGACATAACCCAATCCAGGGTGACCATTCTCAGATGATATAACCCAATCCAGGGTGACCATTCTCAGATGATATAACCCAATCCAGGGTGACCATTCTCAGATGATATAACCCAATCCAGGGTATGACCAGATTTATGGGTAGCACTGTCCACAAACTGATATAGGCCATGACCTGTCAATAACTTCACAAACTTCTTAGTGTCACTGCGATTTTTGTTCTCCAAATGCACATTAAAATCGCCCAAGATGACAGTATTCTTATTCATATATTTAATGCTCCTCAGGGAAATGTTTTTCGGTGAAATATACTTCTGGATTCGCCCCTGTAGAGGTAGTAGTTATGCAGTCGTTGGTACGAAGTTGTTGGCGAAGAGCTGTTAGATTTTACTGCCGCCCGAGCCACATACAACCGAATGTAGATAAAGCGCAGGAGTTACCTCCCTTCTACCCTCGCTTTATTTCCTGTTTACGGAATTTTCCGAATAGCTGATTCAACCTTCAATTTTCACGCTGCGCTGATCAAGGTTAAATATAGTGGTCAGGTAATTGCCTAATTACCTTCATCATGGCACAGCCGAAAGTATACGTAACACGAAGAGTGCCAGCTGAAGGTTTGGAGCTGTTGAAAAAAAGCTGCAACGTTTCCGTGTGGGACAGCGACGATGTTGTACCCAGAGCTACCCTCCTCGAGAAGGTCGCCGGCATGGACGGACTGTTCTGCACCATTAGTGACATCATCGACAAGGACGTTCTGGAGGCTGCAGGTAACTCGATGTCTCTCTCCTATCACCCAATGTGTTTTATCTTCACCTGTCATTAGTTCCGATTAAAATAATGCTCGAAGTATGAATGCAGGTGAAATCAAGAGTTGCCTCCCTTACCCTATCGATCAGCTTTGGCGTTGTGTTTTGTAAAACGAAACAAAAACGGTTGTTATGGCCATGCCGAGTTCCGGAGGGAATTATGATTGCAGACTAATTGCGGTATTATGTCCATACCACCCCACGCCACCATTTCACAAAAATACTAGTGAATCCACATCTCATGATCAATACATATTCATGACATTCCGACATTGTTCAATATTAGATCTTCAGATCCATAAGCTTCATAATACAGAACAACATATATAATGTAGGCGTAGTCAAAATATTATGATACGGTTGTCATTCATGTTTCATTTAACGCTTGAGACAAGTCGTCATATAACGGGGATGCTACATATTAAGAAATGACCGTAATTCGTCTTTTATAATGACCGTCGGGGTGACCGCTATTTGATGTTTAATACACTATGTTCACAAACTATTATGTATGAGCACCGTTGTGGTCAATTTCAGTGGTCAGAATTGTTATAAAATGTGCTCATCGTTGCACTATCACTGTTTCCTTGGTCCGATCGATTTTTAATCATCACACGAGGAGTTCGTCACGTAGTGATGTATGTCGGAATCTCTCAGTGAGAAAGTAGGGCAAGTCCATCGTGATGTATACCATTAGTGTAATATTACTTATTTTATACCCTTCATGAAGATCTGATTCATAACAGATCGTCATATAGCTTGAGTGTGGCGTTGAGCAAGTACGACATTGAGACTCCTGTATATTTAGAAATTATATATTTTATTAACAAAGTGAATGAGGCGGACGTACAATGGGGTTACCTCGGTTCTGCTCTTTTTGTCAGAAGAATTGGTATTTACAAGATCTGACATTTTGCAGGTAAGCCATATGGCTGAGATATATGAGATGTGAGTTTTGTGCTACATTTGGAGGAGACTATTGAAAAAATTTAACCGAGCATATCGTTTATGGAAATTAGCTTGTAATTCGGATCAAAAGCATAATCTGCATTTTAATTGGCGGTGGTTAGCATAATATGTCACGCACGTTTTCTGCTCAGCTTGTTTGAGACAACTGAAAACAAAGCTGATTTAACTGAGCGTATCGTTTATGGAATATAACATTCAAGTCAACAATATGTGGCATTTGTTTGCCATATAATAGGATATCCTCCTGCAACAGGAGTAGTTCGGGGTAGTTCGTTTGAAAGGTCCTTTCAATATTTATCGTATCATTAGTGCACAATTATTTGCAATTACAAGTAAAGGTTAAAGAAACCTTCAATCAAATTCTATTAAACGCAGTGAAACGTATGACTTCTTTGATGGGCATTTTAAATGTTGAGTTGATGAAGAATAATGACAATTAGTCATTATTCTGCACTGAGACGTGTCTGAACCATAATGGATGTATTACCTAAATACACCTTGTTAATTCTTTCAACCATGTCCAGAGGTAAGGTTCTCATAGGTGTTTCAAGATTGGTTGTGACCGCTTGAGTGTGTTGTTCAATTAGTTTAAGAAAACACGAAGGATTATGAATATTCAGATATATCTTTGAGAAAACATTAATCAAGATAGTTGAAACGTGAATAATTTCCATTAACACACACTTAACAAAGTGGGGGCAACTGTTAAAATGACAATTCAACTGCACCTAAATATTTTTCATTTGCTGAAAGAAAAGAGGGAATTCAAAGCAAGACTATATACCCAGCCAATTAAGTAATCTTGTGTACAGCATAGGCAGCATTAGAGGTTCAACGTGTCAGTACTGTGGTCTGTGAAGACCCATCTCATTACCTTTTGGAATCATGTAATTTGTTTGCTCTCAAACGTCATGTTTTTTAAACATGTTCGATACAAATCATTGTGAAGAATATTCAGTTCAACATCAAATCAGTTTTTTATGGCAATACGAGTACAGATTTTATCAGTGACTGAAATCAGTGTAAATTATTATGTTTAAATTGTTAATGATACGCAAAGATTCAATACTTTGTAACAACTTTCATACGACTTATCACAAATATGTTATTCTTCTCCGTCTCTTGATATGTTTTAATTGGATGTTGTTAACATTATGGAGAGAGTGTTCAAAGTTTGACATCTTGTGCCTAGTCCGTTTCACTTTGGTGAAAAATTATATATGAATTTTATAGAAATTATAAATGTTTTTTAATTAAAACAATGTTCAAGGAAATTAGAATAAAGTATGGGCATCGCCGAATAAAACTCGAAATAATAATTATTTAAATTACGTATTATGTGCATTATTTCTCAATACTAAATTTACCTCGAAGAGATAAACCCTCAACATAGAAAGGAAACAGCTGTTGTTGTCTTGACCGCCACGTTGTCCAATTTGCTCCGTATAATGTTATCATTTTTCTCACTTCTCATTTCATATTTGTTGTTAGTTGGTGGAAAGAAATTCCATTATTTCAAAACATTTGCAACTTTCACTTCCATTTATTATAATAAACCATTCAGAGGCCCAGATAAGCTGCGTATCCGGGTAAAATACGCATAGAAAATTTCCAATTACGCATTGTAAAATAATTCTTGCGTACCAATTACGCATTTAAAATGTTAGATACGCAAAAAGTGTAAAACAAATGCGTACGGAATATATTTATAAAAATCGCTTGCGTTATGAAAAAGACATCGATTGCTATCAAGTTGTACTGTTAGTATAGGACAAGTGTTGTACTGTCAGTACAGGATGAGTGATTTTTTATGAAATCATTTCCATTATATTTAAGTTGGTTTTGATTAGGTATGACATAAGACAGAACATACCTGCTTAGTAAACTTACTCAATGACATAATACTTCGGTGAGTAAAATGACTGAAATACGCACATATTTGAAAGCAGTGGGTAACGGAAAATGAAATACCCACTCAACATTCATAATACCCACTCCAAAAAAATACAGTGGGTACAGTACCCACATGAGCTAAATCTTATCTGGAGCTCTGAACCATGACGGTTTTGGTCGTCACGTCATGGATTGGAAAACAACTTCACATGTATCGTGGTCCTGTGAAACTATCACACTCCTTTGATAATCCTTGAAGTTTTTGAATTATTTATATAGATGTATGAACTTTTGTGAAAAACTTTCTCAGCCATAAGCATTTTGATATAACGCGAGCATCAAAAGGTAGAAGAAAATATGATTAAATAGGAATGACAAGTGTTTATGGATGATCAACTTCTTTATTGTACATTGGCAACTTTTAGGTATAAATGCTTATACCGTTTTCAAGCATGAGGTGGTCAATGGATACAGCAGCGTATATATAGGGTACATGAGGATTAACAAAGACAATGGATGATAAACAATTATTAAATATGATTAAACCAATATTAATATGTTTAATCTTCAACAGATATACATAAAATAAATATACCAAAATATGTACGAGACCCCGTTTCAAACAGGTGTGTAATGAATAGTATGGGGTGGGTGTAATATGGAATTATCAACTCGATTAGGAAATATCCGCGTAAAATCTGCCAGGATAGTTACTGAGATCCCAGAGTATACACCTCACAAACAGCTGTTCTATGAAACAGTTGGGAAACGTTAACAGAATGAAGAAGGAAGCTCATGTTTTGTTTGTTCTACAAGGCACAAAGTAATATTGCTTCAAATTGTCTTAAAGACATTTTACCAAGTACTGTTGGTTCCAGTACATGTATGTCCAGAAAATCCGGGTCTTCACGGGTTACAACCACCAAAGAAATCGATGCTAAAATAATTCGATAAATTTTATTAAAGGAAAATGATGTTATGCAATAATGTGAAACTGGATGTAACTTTGTTATTAAACGGAAATGAAAACTTTTCTATTTTCTAAAATCAACATAATTATCATAAAGCTGTGCAAATGTTTATAAGACACATAGTGATTTGTGTATCACGAGTGTAAAGCCTAGTCTTTCTATACATTCCATTTATGCATAACCTGTTTCCTTGCATATGATTTACTGCGATAAGCTTTTGTAAATGCCATGGATATCTTCGAGTCCTATTTTGGAGAACCTGTTCCCAATCTATTTAAATATTTTAAAACTAAGTGAAATATAACACCCAGGCGTAGATAATGACGTCATTTTAGAAGCCGTATGTGGATCTCCATGGTTACGTCATTCCTGGACCCAACGTATCAACCGGCTTCGTTTAGAAACAGCTGAACAGTAGCAATTAGACAACCCACGCAGAGTCAGGGATGAGTAACTTTACTGGTTTGAAGAAAAAGAAGAAAAATATTTTCTTCGTGTGTCACATGCGATAAACATTTGACAGAAAATCAAAACAAAATATATTGTCCACTTGATCCAGCAGCACAAGAGGAAGGGCTTCAGCTCATCCGGATAGCTGGCATAAATCTCCATGTTGTTTGTATGCTGAAGCAGGGCAGATATTGTATCCAAGACGCGGGTGCTGACGTGCACTGAACGACCTCGTTGAAGCAGTTGCATGTTGAAGCAGCCATCATGGGGATCAAGCAAATCATTCATAGTCTGCAGTGTCCCCTTGCATTCTCACACACGCACACTTACGCACGCACGCACACACGGGAAGGTCCCTGCTTGTCGTAAGAGGCCAATAACGGACTCGGATGGTTCAGATCTATCTATCTATCTATCCATCCATCCGTCCATCCATCTATTGACAGGTGTGCTACGGTGTTATAGAAGAGATTCAGTGACTAAGTTATGTAGAATGTACTGTTCTTCAATAGGTGTTTATGCGCATGAAATATTGTTCAGTACTGGGTATCTGTGACTGTGTGTCGTGTACGGCTGTTCTCACGCAACAGAGATTTTACATTGGAAATTCCATGAGAGGACGCTCCAGGTAACTACAGCAGCGTCACAGCTTCAGACAGCATGTGGGAACAAGGCAGCGAACTCGAGGCCATATTGGCATGTTTGTACAGCGGCCGCGTTATAGCGAGGCATGTGTATAATATTACTATCTGACTGTGAAGTGGGTCTTTTGTTGGTGTCAATGTTGTCACAAAGAAACGACTGAAAGGGGTACGGAGTTCTGATTGCACGTGGAAACCTGAACGTGGTATGACGAGATGGGACGTGTTTGACATAAATGTGTGTTCTTCATATGAGTTTGAGAAGTGATGGGTTATATATGCTTTCCAAAATAACCGCGGACCATGGCTTCAACTCATACTACAAGAATAACTCTTTTAGATTCTTTGTTTTTATTTAAAAATATCCACTAATATATCTTGTTACCTGAAATTTCTGCGTAAAGACGATAACTGAAATTGAAAAGATCAAGCCCGGGAAGCGTCTAGTTTCACTCACTCACTCACTCACTCACAGATTGGCGGTAAGGCTTGTCGGTTGAAGTGTGTGGGGGAGCCCATTTTCCCCGCCGTGATATTGCTGGAATATTGTTGATATTGCCGAATTCATACTCACTGACTTGTCAATCCTAAATCCCCATTTGCTTGAAACCTTGACCTAGTTTATCTGTTTTCGTCAACGAAAAAAACTAACCTCACTCGTGTTCAAAGCTTAGAGAAACGCTTTCTGTAAACCTCTAATCTCTGCTATTTAAATCCCATTCATTTGATCAGTACTTAATAATAAGTTTTCTGGTTGGCCAAAAGACTTATGGAAGCTCTACGACTGCCTCTACAGCAACAAGCATACGTTGATGTATCGGAGTCCTTACAATGGATCCTTGGTCAACGAGAATGATAAACATCTAAGAACCTAAGTGAAAAGGAAAACTGTTGATGCGTCCCTATATCAGTACATACGACTCCAGACCTTCAAAGAATCAAACTGTTGATGCGTCCCTATATCAGTACATACGACTTCAAAGAATCAAACTGCATCCGTAGCCATGTGACATCAGTCTGGAGATCAATGGTTCGATTCCTGGTCGTGTTATGCATAAGGATGGTGGGAGCGGTGGTGTAACCTAGTGGTTAAGGCATGCGCTCGTCACGCTGAGGGCCCGAGTTCGATTCCCCAGATGGTTACAATGTTTGAAGCCCATTTTGGGTGTCCCCCGCCGTGTTAATGCGGGAATGTTGCTAAAAGCGGCGTAAAATCTTACTCACATAAAGATGGTACATCTTGTTACCCTGCCCTTAAGGGGATAAGACAAGGAGTGTTATGATCGTAGTCGGTATACTGTGTGTAAGTGGGATACATGTTAAACTGTGGTATGAGGGGAAAGCACGAACAGCCACGCACACGCACGCACCGACACACGCATACGCGTGCTTGCTCGTCGCTATAAACGTGCAATAATCTTGAACGCGGCATTGAGCTGCGCGTCACCTCAGCCCAAAGGACCTTCAGAGCTAAGTGTACTTAACCTTGGCTCTAATATCATGATTCATGTATAAAATGAGGCTGTGCTGTACACACTAGGTACGTTCTACCGCAATATTACACGACAATATTTGCATTGAGCCTACTGGCACCGACGTCTCAAGGGACCTGATAGGTCGTTGTTCAATAATCGCTAGGATTACACCCATTCCATCTCTCCTTGAGACGAGGACATATGTCTGTTTGTTTAACATTATCTCCCACTGTGTAAACGACGGGGTATCTTAAAGGTCCTATTCGGAATAAGTAGCAGTTCAGGTTTGCAGAAGTGCAAACTTATGACACCGGGTGGTGGTGTGACTTCGTGGTGTGGGCGGTTAGTTGATCTGTCATGAACACCCGATTCTGCCATGCTGTTATAGGTTAGTATGTCATGAACACCCGATTCTGCCATGCTGTTATAGGTTAGTCTGTCATGAACACCCGATTCTGCCATGCTGTTATAGGTTAGTCTGTCATGAACACCCGATTCTGCCATGCTGTTATAGGTTAGTCTGTCATGAACACCCGATTCTGCCATGCTGGTATAGGTTAGTCTGTCATGAACACCCGATTCTGCCATGCTGTTATCATCTGTCTGAACATCCGATTCTGCCATGCTGTTATAGGTTAGTCTGTCATGAACACCCGATTCTGCCATGCTGTTATAGGTTAGTCTGTCATGAACACCCGATTCTGCCATGCTGTTATAGGTTAGTCTGTCATGAACACCCGTTTCTGCCATGCTGTTATAGGTTAGTCTGTCATGAACACCCGATTCTGCCATGCTGTTATAGGTTAGTCTGTCATGAACACCCGTTTCTTTCATGCTGTTATAGGTTAGTCTGTCATGAACACCCGATTCTGCCATGCTGTTATAGGTTAGTCTGTCATGAACACCCGTTTCTTGCCATGCTGTTATAGGTTAGTCTGTCATGAACACCCGTTTCTTTCATGCTGTTATAGGTTAGTCTGTCATGAACACCCGTTTCTGCCATGCTGTTATAGGTTAGTCTGTCATGAACACCCGTTTCTTTCATGCTGTTATAGGTTAGTCTGTCATGAACACCCGATTTTGCCATGCTGGTATAGGTTAGTCTGTCGTGAACATCCGTTTCTTTCATGCTGTTATAGGTTAGTCTGTCATGAACATCCGTTTCTTTCATGCTGTTATAGGTTAGTCTGTCGTGAACACCCGTTTCTGCCATGCTGTTATAGGTTAGTCTGTCGTGAACATCCGTTTCTTTCATGCTGGTATAGGTTAGTCTGTCATGAACACCCGTTTCTTTCATGCTGGTATAGGTTAGTCTGTCATGAACGCCCGTTTCTTTCATGCTGGTATAGGTTAGTCTGTCATGAACATCCGATTCTGCCATGCTGTTATAGGTAAGTCTGTCGTGAACATCCGTTTCTTTCATGCTGTTATAGGTTAGTCTGTCATGAACATCCGTTTCTTTCATGCTGTTATAGGTTAGTCTGTCATGAACATCCGTTTCTGCCATGCTGTTATAGGTTAGTCTGTCATGAACATCCGTTTCTTTCATGCTGTTATAGGTTAGTCTGTCATGAACACCCGTTTCTTTCATGCTGTTATAGGTTAGTCTGTCGTGAACACCCGTTTCTTTCATGCTGTTATAGGTTAGTCTGTCATGAACACCCGTTTCTTTCATGCTTTCATGCTGTTATAGGTTAGTCTGTCATGAACACCCGTTTTTGCCATGCTGTTATAGGTTAGTCTGTCGTGAACATCCGTTTCTTTCATGCTGTTATAGGTTAGTCTGTCATGAACATCCGTTTCTTTCATGCTGTTATAGGTTAGTCTGTCGTGAACACCCGTTTCTTTCATGCTGGTATAGGTTAGTCTGTCGTGAACATCCGTTTCTTTCATGCTGGTATAGGTTAGTCTGTCATGAACGCCCGTTTCTTTCATGCTGGTATAGGTTAGTCTGTCGTGAACACCCGATTCTGCCATGCTGTTATAGGTTAGTCTGTCGTGAACACCCGTTTCTTTCATGCTGTTATAGGTTAGTCTGTCATGAACATCCGTTTCTTTCATGCTGTTATAGGTTAGTCTGTCATGAACATCCGTTTCTTTCATGCTGTTATAGGTTAGTCTGTCGTGAACATCCGTTTCTTTCATGCTGTTATAGGTTAGTCTGTCGTGAACACCCGTTTCTTTCATGCTGTTATAGGTTAGTCTGTCATGAACATCCGTTTCTTTCATGCTGTTATAGGTTAGTCTGTCGTGAACATCCGTTTCTTTCATGCTGTTATAGGTTAGTCTGTCATGAACATCCGTTTCTTTCATGCTGGTATAGGTTAGTCTGTCATGAACACCCGTTTCAGCCATGCTGTTATAGGTTAGTCTGTCGTGAACATCCGTTCCTTTCATGCTGGTATAGGTTAGTCTGTCGTGAACATCCGTTCCTTTCATGCTGGTATAGGTTAGTCTGTCATGAAGACGAATTGTTTGATGTCAGTATAAGTGATAAGACAAACTTCTTTCATATTACAGTAGTTCATTTGCCATGGAGTGACGCCATATCGATGCCATGGATTGACGCCATGCTTTGCCTTGCAGATTAACTACAGTGGCATAAAAGAATCGGGTGTTGTTTAACCTCCTTTGAGTTATGCTGGTGGCTGGGATAGGTATCGCAATACGTGTCATCGTCAAAACCGTTCCACTGTTGGTATGTCTCTCAGGTTAAGCAGCCTCTGACGCATTGGACACCATGTGTCCACGAGTGTGGGCAGACAGTAGCCCAGTCTGTGTCATCGTATACCGACGGCATAGAGCATTGGAGGACACATATTGGTTTCGGGACCGGTGTATTTTCAGTTGAAGTTTATCTTCAGCGTTTTCTCCTTTAGATAGGACATTTGATATGTGTGTGTGCCTTAGATGTGCCCTAGAGGTAGACACAGTGCCAAGCAACGACAAAAAAAGAAACCCGTTTCAAAACTTAATATATGTGTGTCATTTTGCAGCCACAGCTTAATGGGGCCCATACAAGCAACAACTTGTTTGTTCTGAGCCTAACTGTTTACAAGCCTAATTATTGCTAATATTGCTTATAACGGAAGATGTAAAAGATCAACAAACAGATGAGTGAGAGAGAGAGTATGGTCTTACGCCGCTTTTAGCAATTTTCCAGCAATATAACGGCGGGGGACACCAGAAATGAGCTTCACAAATGTACCCATGTGTGGAATTGAACCCGAGTTTTCGGCCTGACGAGCGAACGCCTTAACCGCAAGGGTACTCCACCGCGCCTGATGCAGGTGAAGGCGGTGATCTTAGTACAAGCAGGACTTTATTGTGTAGAGAACTGTGTCAGCTTATGAAAATATACTTGGATTTGGAATTCCCTATAGTATTTTCCTAAATTTTTCTTTCTTTTTCTTTTCAGGCCCCAGTTTGAAGATCATCGGGACAATGTCCGTGGGCATGGTACACATTGATGCACGTGAATGCGCAAAAAGGGGGATAGAGGTGGCCAATACCCCGGACGTCGCATCCGACAGCGCTGCCGAGTTGACGGTGGCGTTACTGTTGTTGACGACGCGACGGCTTGTTGAAGGCGAGTAATTGCAGTTTGTTGCCAATGGCCTGGCTCAGTACGTCACCAGTGTCCCTCTAGCGATTCTGGGCTCAGAATACATCCCCTATACCCCATGCTTATTTGTCAACGCCTTACCCTGTGTTCTGGGGCGTTGCAATTATCACTATACAGAGTTACATCCCTTAGACTCGCCTGGAACTTCTGATCGTGGGTTTCGGATCCCAGGTTTCCTCCAGTCTGTCTCTATTTTTGTCAGCAACCGTTCTCATGGGTTTACCGAAGTGTTATATGTCTGAGACCTGCAGTACTTCGGGTTTTCCTCCCATATCATGACACGCCACGATATTACTGAAATTCTGTTCACTATGGCGGATACCCATGAAGGTCCGGGTTAGAATTGGCCTTCAGTAACCCATGCTTGTCATAAGAGGCGACTAACAGGATCGGGTGGTCAGGCTCGCTGACTTGGTTGACACATGTCATCGTAATGGCGTATCCCAATTGTGTAGATCGATGCTCATGCTGCTGATCACTGGATTGTCTGGTCCCTACTCGATTATTTACAGACAGCTGCCATACAGCTGGAATATAGCTGAGTGCGGCGTAAAACAACATAGAAACAAACGCTATTACCTCATTATCAAGACTTGAGTTAAAACTTTCCGTTAAGTCAACCGTATCTTATGTTCCAGGTGTCGAGGCAGTCAAGGCAGGCGAGTGGGGCTTATGGCGGCCCATGTGGCTGTTAGGGGTGGAGAGCGTCAACCGCACCTTGGGGATTGTCGGAATGGGAAGGGTGGGCTTTGGGGTAGCCAGGAGAATGAAACCTTTCGGTGTCGGTCGCATCATCTACTACGACGAGTTCCAGGCTGGATATGCTGCCGATGTTGGTGCCGAGCTTGTAGACTTGGACACCCTGCTCAGTGAGTCCGACATCCTCTGCATCTGCTGTGCCCTCACCCCTCGCAGCCGAGACATGTTCAACGCCAGCACGTTCGCCAAGATGAAAAGGTCCGCCATTTTGATCAACACGGCCAGGGGAGCAATCGTTAACCATGACGACCTCGCCAAGGCTTTAGCACAGGGGGACATAGCAGCAGCTGGCTTGGACGTCACGGAACCAGAACCGCTCCCTAGGGACCATCCCTTGATGTCTTTGGACAACTGCATCATATTGCCCCATCTTGGGACCAACTCGAAGGAGACCCGGATCAACATGGCGACCAACACAGCAATGAACATAACATCGGTGCTCTGCTGTGGAAAGGCATAAGTTTGGCCTTATTTCATCTTATTAGTTGGTATACGGATATATTTTCAAAAGTATTGGTCGGTGTTTGAAGTGAAATATCACTAAAAATACTTCTTTCATATATTTTCTTCAATCATTCTCTCTTTTTTAACATAGGAAATAGGATGAGATAAAAAAAAATAAGCGTTTTGGTATTTTTGAAAAAACAGAACTGATGTTGAAAGTCTAGAACGTTGACATGGTAACAATACGTTATTTACACAGAGAGTGTCGCTGAAGCTAGGGATAGTATTGGCGTACACAATTGCAGGTAATTGAGCATGTACCTGTAGACATTGTGTGGAATGTGTTATTGATAAGAGCAATTGTCAGACTCAGCCTTACAAACAGGCAGCTTCTATTATTTGTAAATGTATATTTGACTTTGATTAACAGGCAGCCCCTCACTTTTCCAATCTGACTTTTGAGTTCGCCAATCCGTTTACCAGGTGATGATATTAGAACGTGTTAAATGTGTAATGTGAGAGTGAATATATATCTTGTTTCTGTGTTGGCACACACATGTAGATGTACATTATTCGTTATGCCAGTATTTTCTGTGGAGGCTGTAATAAATGGTTATTAAATAACTATTAAAAAGAAAATATATTTTTGTTTTATTCATTGACAAAATCTATTATGATACAGCGGTACAGATAAGCTGCGTGTCTACGTAAACTACGCAAATATTTAACTCAATTCCTATCAAGTCTGTTGCGCTTGTATTTTTGTAAATTCTCGATACATTTGATCTTACATACGTACTCAAAACAATGTCAAATCTTAGCTTGCGTACTGTATCATTCACCAAACCTACTAGAATTTGAAGTAAGCAGACCCATGCGCTAGCTACAGATGGAGGTTACTGAAGATAGATAGAATAACTGAGGTATATTGTGAGGTTCTATTTCAGCACATGAACTTGGCAACTTGCAGTCTTTCTTATGTTTTCTCATATTACAGATCAAATATAAAAAACCAACATGTAGACTTAATTCTATTTTCACAAATAAATGGAAAATGACAAAATAACCAATTGAGTTTGAGTGAGGTGGGCATAATTTATTTGGTTACTCAAAGGAAAATTAGGATACCAAATGAGATGTACACAAGCGAGTACATAACTCAATGACCCCAAAAGTTATCTGTAGCTCTGAATGATGGGTACTATGGCTTCATTGTCACATTTATTAAATATCTGAGTGGCACATCACCAACATGGCTATTATCGTGTGTTATACAACAGTGGCAGTTATATATATATAACAGTTATATAACTGGCAGTGAGCTAGTCCTATCAGTGAGGTATGTACAGAGAAGAAGAGACAATAGAGCCTAGCGACCGTGAGTTGATATATTTATCACCATTGTCGAAGTTCAAGGCCACGGAACAAGGTTAATGTCAAGGCTACATCACAGAGACCGGTGTTTCATGTTCCTGAAGACACGTGGCTCTACATTTTGGCGAGTTGTGATAAGAATATAGGCTTTGAATTTTCTCTGTTTTAAATCCGGTTAAATGAAATTTCAAACATTTGAAAATATTCTACCGTCGCAGATCGAAATCATTACTATGCTTATATCATCTTTCAGAAAGCAATTAATATGTTTCCCACTTTGTGTCTCGTGATGTGAAGCCCATTCCTGGTGTCCCCCGCCCATGATATTGCTGGAATATTGCTAAAAGCGGCGTAAAACCAACCTCACTCACTCCATACTTTTCGTCTTTCTGTTGGTCTCGAAAGCAACTATATACTGGACAAAATAAGTTAGGGATATTGGTATTTTTATGAGTGATATTTTATCAGTGTGTCAATTAATAAATAGGTCTTTATTCATAATTTCAAAATTTACATATATCCCTAACTAGTTTTGTCCAGTATATTTTCTGTCTCGTATGTGAGCCTTGGGGAAAGTGGTTTTGCCCAAAACAGGCTTCAGTTCGAGAGCTGCTTAGTTTGTGAATGGACAACTTGAATATTATAAGCAGAAAATGTTTCAGTAGTTTTCGAATTCGTTCTCGTTTCCTAGCGTCTGAGCACGATAACCGATGAGATTATCGGTCAACCAACCTTATATCTGCCACGTCACAACGGTGTCATCCATATCACTCCTGTAACCCGCTCACATGACGCTGACGTACACCATCTCAGTACACCTGTGTTACAGCTCTATCACGGTTTTGCTGTAGTGTATTCGGAATGGCTTACTTTACTGAGATGACAATGCAATATTTCGGCAACAAGTGTTACGTGAATTACATATACATTCCGCGGTAGTCGTCCTTCATCGCTTGGGCCCCGTTCCACAAAGCGATCGCATAGCTACGATGATCGTAACTCCCATACTTTAACATATACTTACGACAGTCGTAGCGCTACGATCGGTTTGGGGAACGGGGCCCCAGGTGCCGTTGTACAAAGCGATCTTTTCGTTAAGGTGATCGTAAAGCCAACACTTGAACAGTTACGACTGTCGGTTGAAGCGTAAGTGCGCTTCGTCCAGTTTGGCCAGGGTGTCGTTGTACAAAGCGAACAGTTGAACAGTTACGACTGTCGGTCGTTGCGCTTAGTGCGTGCGCTTCATGTAGTTAGGACCTGGGTGTCGTTCAAAGCGATCTTATCGTTAAGGTGATCGTAACGCAAATACTTGAACAGTTACGACTGTGCGCTTCGTGCAGTTACGTCCTTGGTGTCGTTGAAGAAAGCGATCTTAGCGCTCAGGTGATCTCCAATTACCATAGAACTACGCCAGTGCTTTCGCTAAGGCTGTTATGTCCGACGGTACCCAGGGCCTTGCAAAATTTGCGACTTTCCAATACTTTAACAGTTAATTTCGACGATTTCGTGTTGTTTGTTCCTGTGCCTTCCAAAAACATGTTAACAGAACAGGTGATATTCTACGGCATAAATGTATAATTTTAACATGTTTCAACGTAAACCGTTGTTTAAAAAGAACGGGAAGTAACTGAATGACAAATATTTAAGAAACACCGGTTTTGATATATTATCTTGGAAGAAGGTGCTAAATCAAAGACATGTAGCTGTGCAATTTTGACGAGGATGAGTGTTGTGACGACAGACCAGGGTTCATAATGCGGACATGTATGGGATTCGAACCCGCGATATGCGGGCCCTGAAACGTCTATGAGTCTAAATGATATTAATTGAAAATGACCACAACTGTCACCCATCCGCAGGCATAAGTATATACAGCACAACACTCCATCATCTACATTCACAACATTGCCCAATTTACTAATAACACCATTACGTCTCTTTCTGTCTTCTGAAATGCGGGAGATCTTCTATTTTAGCTGGGTAATCCTTCAGCCACGTGGGACCCTGCTTTTTATCGCCAGTGAGCTGATCTACCCATAATCCCCCAGGTAGATAAATGTCTCGGGAGTTAGCTCCCTTGTCTAGGACAGGAGCCACTAGGAGATCGTCCCCTAGTAAAACTCAGAATCAGTTGTTAAGGCGATGTCATCTTCTGGGCTTATCCACCAAAGCGGTCGTATAATGGGACTACCCGTTTTAACACTCTCTTTAGCCAATGAAATAATTGTATCGGTATATTTTTCACGTAGTTTCATTTGTGCCTTAGCTATAGTAACCACCTTCATCGTCGTATATCCAGGGTGCTATTGAAAACTGGACAGCTGGCAAGAAAGTATTCACTTGTAACCATCGTATGAAGAGTTCCCTTTCAGGATAGGCCCCTCCAGTGAAGCTGCTGTCATCTGGGTACGCATTCCCACCAATCATATCGGGCAACACAAACGGGTAACCAAGGATACCAAATGTAAGGATGGCTGGAATGACGGTTTTAAGACCAGTATCATAACCCCAAGAAGACATCCTGTCAAAAAGACGCACGAAAATAGGATACTTTTGTGACGTCCAAGCCACTCGTACTTCCTGGTGTCTGACCGCGGTGTCTGACTGATAGGCCAGATCTGCCCACAGGCGTGCGTAGTTCTCTGGGTTAGGATAGGACGTCTTAATGGAGTAGGACCTTGGGTAGAAGAAGGCTTCGCCGGCGTCGAATTTAAAGGAACTGACGTTATATGACGTCCTGAGGTTCTTCAGTCTGTCAAGGAATCTCTGCACGGCTTTGCCGTTGGAGACGTCCAGCATTGCCGCTTCATCCCCGTTCCACCATTTTACCAAAGCTGGGGCGGAACCGTCGGTTGTCATGACGACAAGTTTCTCTCGTGCTCCTTCCATGTAAGCCTTGGAGTTGGTGTCCATGAATGGATGCACCCACACCGTCACTCTGAATCCCATGTCGTTGAGTGTCCGGATCATTTTACCCGGATCTGGGAACTTATTAATGTCGAATTCGTTGTCTCCGTACAAAGGGGTCCAGTCATCATCGATTTCGATTTGCGAAAAGGAAAAGCCATTTTCTTTGATGGTCTTGGCGAATTCCACCACAAGTGTTTCGTTGATGTCTTTATTAAATTGGGCCCATGTTGACCAAACCGGAAACTTGAACATCTTCTCGTCTGGAATGTTTTCTGGGCGGTCGATGTACAACCTTGACATGGCGTCGTGAAGGACCTTGATATTTGGCGCTCGGCAGATGGTGTAGTTGAGTTCGGGGAGGACGCTGTTGGTGGTCATGTATGGGTAACCTTGTGACTTGCTAACAAGGCATATATCCCCATCTCCAGATTGATTAATACTGACGTAAAGGGGGACGTCATTTCCTATACGTATACCTACACCGTTTGAACTGATGAAATACCGTTCCACGACACCACCTATGTCTTTCTTATGAGTGAATATGTCTGTTGATACAAAAGGCTGCAAGTCTAAATTCATCCCATTCAGGGGCCAAGGTTGCTGGACGTGTTGGAAGCCACCGTACCATTGCGCCCCTGACAAACTGAAGCAATCTTTGAGCTCTTGTGACACGCTTTGCAGAGCTTTTCTTCTGACGTCATAGCAGACGACATTTTCTTCCTCAGTGCGCACAACCTGGATCTGTTGTCTACCTAACTGTTTGACGCAGAAGGCTTTCGTATCTCCTCTGATTCCACAGTCTCTGAAATCGGAGCTGTCTTTGTCCAGACCGACTCTGCCAACTAACGCGAGTTTCAAATGCGAAAATGAATCGTATACATGCAGAGTGTAATCACTGTCCAATGTCATGTCTTTTATTGCCCGGTCGACGCATTTTCCTCCATAGTGTTTAAACCAAACACCTCCGTAGTAGGCTACGATGGCTCCAATAAGTGACACAGACAGGTAAAACGCCAATGTACTGTCACGCCCGGCCATGATTTAGCGCAGCCTGAAAAGAGACGGAAACATGATTACAACGATGGCAATGGTGAGGTGCATTTGGGTTAAACGTTGAATTCAAGATTGTTGTTCGTATCTAATGGCGTGCATGCACGTTTGTGTGTGTGTGCGTGCGTGCGTGCGTGCGTGTTGCGCTTGCGTGGCGTCTTGTTTGCTTGTTGTTTAACGCCGCACCCGACAATATTCTAAATATTCCAGCTATATGGCAACGGTATGTAAATAATCGAATCGAGACAAGACAATCCAGTGATCAACAGCATGAGCATCAATCTACGCAATTGGGATACGATGGCATGTCTCAACAAAGTCAGCGAGTCTGACCATCCGATCCCGTTAGTCACCCCTTACGACAAGCATGGGTTGCTGAAGAACAATTCTTACCCGGACCTTCACGGGTTGTGTACTGCTGAAGACTTAAGCTGGTTTTATAGCCCTGAGATTTAACATGGATACCACAGTTTAACATGGATACCCCACTGACTTCAACCCGATCAGCTGTATTAATCCCCTTCTGCCGAGCGCCAAGTAAGGTACCAACAAGTACCGTATATTTAGTATATAATGGCACCGTACCATTTAAAGGAGTGAGTGAGTGTGTGAGTCGTGTTTTTTCGCAATATCACGGCATGAGACTCCACGAGACTCCATGTATCCATGTGGGGAATCGCACCCAGGCTTTCGGTGTGACAAGCTAACCACCAGACTACCCGTACGTCCCTACAGTGAGTGAGTGAGTTTGGTTTCACGCCACCTTTAGCAATATTCCAGAAATGGGCTACACACATTGTACCCATTGTATCATTGTATGTGTGGAATCGCACTCAGGCCTACGGTGCGACGAGCGGACGCTTTAACCATTAGGCTAACACACCCCTAGATCTGTCTGTAAATTTGCTTAGTCTTTGAGGCATCTTTATTAAATAGTGTCAATTTATCAGTAATTTTAAATAGCTCTACCCCCTATTCCCTCAAAATAATACAGTGGGACTGTTGGGCAAAGAAAATATACACTTAGAAATTGGTCTTAACAATATGCTTTATTTGGTTGAAAACAAAATCCAAAAACAACAAACTTCAGGTTCATATCAAAACTTTGACACCCGTGTCAAAATACATCCCCATCCAAAAACAATTTCTTCCTGGTTTCATTTCTAGCCAACCCCAAACTTTCATTTTCCCGGTTGTTCATGTAAACTCTGTGCATGTCGTATGGCAGCCTCATACATGTAAAGCTTCAATCATTAGAATTCAGAATCCATTTCATTAATGCTGGGCAGCTGCATTTTTAAAATTCCGTTTATCATTACCACTCTGGAAATAGTAATTTTCACAAACACAGTCACGTTGAATGTATATGATATGTACATGACTCAGTTTTATAATGAACATACAACCTCGACAATAATATCCTACTGCTACGTGAACTGATTGCTGCCATTATACTGTAATAATATTTACATTTCAGTAACCTTCTTAGGTGCTGCTCTCACTGAATAAACAAGCAAATTAATACGAATTTTATTTTATTTAGGTCACCTCATTCAACATTGTTGTTCTCGAAAGATAATTAGTCATCGTACAAGTTGAGTTGAATATCCGACACACAAGTAGGTTCCGATTGACGTTCCAGTCTGCATTGTTCCGCCGAGTCGCCGCGGTTAGGTTAATGGTGTCCTGGAGTTGTTGACTCTACGAGCAACGAAATAGCGTGTTGTCTTGTGCCGCACTGATTAATATAGAAATTGTATCACATCGGTCAATAACACCAAAGACGTCAGCAGGTAGTACTTATATTATGTGAAGTTCATTTCTGGTGTCCCCCGACTTGATATTGCTGGAATATTGCTAAAAGCGGCGTAAAACTAAACTCACTCACTCGGATAGTACTTATTGTAAGTCTGGGGATAAGGCAGGGACTGGTTGCCTCAGTATAGGGATATAGTAATAGTAATAGTCCGCTTATATGGCGCTCATATCCAGGCACATTGCCTGCTCACGGCGCTACGTACATTACTATCCCCGGTCATAGGACACTATCGTACTTTCCGATACTTTTTCAACTCCCTGGGGATCATACAGCCATGCTGCCTGTTAGGCGCAATGAACTAAACACTCACATTGCCAGCACATCCTCACGGCTACCCATTTTAACAGCTGGGTGAACTGAGACAATGTGGATCTAAGTATCTTGTCCAAGGATACTACGCAAATGTGCCCACCTCGGGACCCGAACCTAGGTGCCTCCACCGGGGATCGAACCCGGGCCTTCAGCGTGATAGGCAGACGCCTTACCACTGCGCTATTGCGGATATCCAGCCAGCATCAATCTGAACAGCAAGTACACTTGCACGCTCGTCGCAGTTCGAGTGCAATATTCTTGACCTACCATAATATACCCTGCCGATACATGACCTTCGGAAACATTACAACCTTTATATACATGACTTATAGATACAAGACCTAAATGACCTTGAGATATGGCCTTCAAAAACATGACCTACACACATCGCCTACAAGAACGTGATCTACACACACTTATCCTATCGATACATGACTTCCAGGTACATGACATACAGATACACGGCTTTCCGAAACATGGCCCAGAGATACATGACCTACAAAAGACCTACAGACACGTAACCTTCTGATACATGTCTTATTGATACATGTACGGACATATTGCTGGATAACATATGCATGATTACCCTTTTAGACACATGGCTTTCACAAACATGACCTAATCGCCAGCACAAAATGAGCCCGCTCAGCTACCGGACATATGGATTGGCTGCAAGAAACAGGCACGATGTTTGTTTAACATATGTTGAAAATACTTCATATGAATTGAGATATCCATACCAATGCTATGTAATGATAAAAAAATTAGATGATGCTGGTAGGCAAAACTGGGTGTCAAATCTCATAAATTTGCTATTTTTCACAGGTTTTACCCACGTTTGGTTATCACAAAGTGTGGGTGATTCTAGATTGTTTACTACTATTTTCAAACAACGGTTGATAGGTTTGATTGCCAAAATTGGCATAGTTTTATATCATCTCCGCACTATTTAAGTAATTATACTAGCATTAAGACTTTGTTGCAGCCTGAAAAATATTTATTGTGTCTCTCGGATAGGGCTTTGCTAAGAGATTTATGTAAATTTAGAATATCTCTTCATGATTTTAATATGAATCACCTACGTAGAAACAAAAATGTATATAAATCACTCTGTTTGCAATGTGATCTTAACGTTATGGAGGACGAGTTCCACGTCCTGTTTATTTGTAAAAAGTATCATGACCTGAGATTAAAATAGCTCCCAAGCCCATCTAATGTTAATCACTATTCGGTAGAAACTCTTGTGTAATATATTAAATACAAATAATGAGGATAATTTACGAGCACTCGCCATTTTTTCTTAAAAATGTATTTCTATTGAGATGTAAATAGAAATAGAAATATTGCTGTATTGTTCACCACGTTATATGTGCTCTATCAAATACAATTGTATTCTAGGCTATGGGGCCGAAATACTGAATAAATATATATCATATGTCATGTGGTAATCGAACTCGGGTCTTCGGCGTGACGAGCGAACGCTTTAACCACAAGGCTACCCCACCGCCCCTCACGTTGCCTTAGAGGTGCAGTGAATGTGCAGAATACTTCCGGCACATATGACGCCCTCAGCCTCAGAGCCCTTCGGCTCATTCTCAGCTGATGTTTTATCGACATAAGGTAACGCTGACTTGCGACGACACACTGGGCGCAAAGGTGAAGGTCAGGTACAGAGTCTATGACGTCAGCATCAGGTATTACATCTCTCCGTGATTGTAGAACATAAATAAACACACGTGATTATTATGAATGAAAAAGTAGTTCCAGGTCAATGTGACCAAGTGGCGTGACTATGATTATCCAATCAAACAGAAGTCACCGTTGTCCGCCTCTATATGCCGAGCAAGTTTCATGTCTTGCTCATTCGGGTAATAAATTCTGAATGCGCCAAGTCTGACTAATGTGCACAGCAACATCTGATCATTCAGGAAATGTTTCACCATAACATGGTAAACCCACACGAGGTTGTGCAGTCACATTGTAAACCCACACAAGGTTGTGCAGTCACATTGTAAACCCACACAAGGTTGTGCAGTCACATTGTAAACCCACACGAGGCTGTGCAGTCACATCGTAAATGTACACAAGGTTGAACAGTCACATTGCAAACCCACACGAGGTTGTGCAGTCACATTGGAAATCCACACAAGGTTGTGCAGTCACATTGTAAACCTACAAGAGGTTGTGCAGTCACATTGTAAACCCACACGAGGTTGTGAAGTCACATTGTAAACCCACACGAGGTTGTGCAGTCACATTGTAAACCCACACGAGGCTGTGCAGTCACATCGTAAATGTAAACAAGGTTGAACAGTCACATTGCAAACCCACACGAGGTTGTGCAGTCACATTGGAAATCCACACAAGGTTGTGCAGTCACATTGTAAACCCACACGAGGTTGTGCAGTCATAATGTAAACCCACACCAGGATGTGCAGTCACATTGTAAACCCACACGAGGTTGTGCAGTCACATTGTAACCCACACGAGGTTATGCAGTCACATTGTAAACAGTCACATTGGAAACACAAGGTTGTGCAGTCATAATGTAAACCCACACGAGGTTGTGCAGCCACACCACGGTTGTAAACCACACGAGGTTGTGCAGTCACATTGGAAACCCACACAAGGTTGTACAGTCACATTGTAAACCTACACGATGTTGTGCAGTTATAATGTAAACCCACACGAGGTTGTGCAGTCACATTGTAAACCCACACGAGGTTGTGCAGTCACATTGTAAACCCACACGAGGTTGTGCAGTCATAATGTAAACCCACACGAGGTTGTGCAGTCACATTGTAAACCCACACGAGGTTGTGCAGTCACATTGGAAACCCACACAAGGTTGTACAGTCACATTGTAAACCCACACGAGGTTGTGCAGTCACATTGTAAACCCACACGAGGTTGTGCAGTCCACACACGAGGTTGTGCAGTCATTGTAAACCTACACGAGGTTGTGCAGTCACATTGTAAACCCACACGAGGAGCAGTTGTAAAAACCCATTGTAAACCCACACGAGGTTGTGCAGTCACATTGTAAACCTACACGAGGTTGTGCAGTCACAATGTAAACCCACACGAGGTTGTGCAGTCACATTGTAAACCCACACGAGGTTGTGCAGTCACATTGTAAACCCACACGAGGTTGTGCAGGTTGTAAACCCACACGAGGTTGTGCAGTCACATTGTACATCCACATAGGTTGTGCAGTCTCATGGTAAACCCAAGGTTGTGCAAAATTGTAACACGAGGTTGTGCAGTCAGATTGTAAACCCACACGAGGTTGTGCAGTCATAATGTAAACCCACACGAGGTTGTGCAGTCACATTGTAAACCCACACGAGGTTGTGCAGTCATAATGTAAACCCACACGAGGTTGTGCAGTCACATTGTAAACCCACACGAGGTTGTGCAGTCACATTGTAAACACACACGAGGTTGTGCAGTCACATTGTAAACCTACACGAGGTTGTGCAGTGAGTCACGTTGTAAACCCACACGAGGTCGTGCAGTCACATTGTAAACCCAAGCAATGTTGTACAATAGGTTTGTGATCCCAAACACATGTTATGGTTTGGTTTGGTTGTTGTTTTACGCCGCACTCAGCAATATTCCAACTATATGGCGGAGGTCTGTAAATAATCGAGTCTGGACCAGACAATCCAGTGATCAACATCATGAGCATCGATCTACGCAATTGGGATACAATGACATGTGTCAACCAAGTCAGCGAGCCTGACCACCCGATCCCGTTAGTCGCCTTTTACGACATCATTGGTGGCTGAAGACAAATTATAACCCGGATCTTCACGGGTCCCAAACACGTGATACGACCATGACAATAAATAGTGCATTGATAAATGCACATTCAGAAACATGCAGCGGCTGCAATGACCTTACCTTCCTCTTTCGCTCACAGCACATCACCAGCTGTTGTAAACATTACAACTGAGCACTACATGCGACGCGTTAGAAAGTAGGCCTGTGCACTATACAGTCCGTACAGCCAGGCTCGTAACCTGTTTCTACCGGGCTCAGTCTATTGCGTCATATACATACGTACATACATACATTGGATGCATATTTTTATGATACTTATAGAGTTCTGGGCTATGCGACGCGGCTATAGCAATCGTGAAGGAAAACATTAACGTTGAGTGAGTGAGTGAGTATGCTTTTCCGCCGTTTTTAGCAATATTCCAGCAATATCCCAGAGTGAAAACTAGAATGTGGCTTCACACATTGTACCCATGCTTACGGCGCGACGTGCGAATACCCAATCTCCCTATAGGTTCAGGATGTTAATGGTCGAATTTTATATATACCAATCTGTAATGGTCGAAAGACTTATCAGCGTGTGATATATCAGTACATATAAAATTGCCAAATGTCACCAGTTCGGGGCCCGTATGTTCATGCCTAGAAAACTGCCCAACGTTCTCCAATGTAATCGCCCACCCCAAATACCCAATATACTACATTGCATCGACTGTTAAATTTAAATTAGAATTCCTGTTCGGAAAAGATAACCGATAGCAGTTTTGGAGGTAAGATGGCGGCGCCTACAAAATCGAAGTTGTTCAGTCGCATGTGACATGAACAAAAGATAACCTGTTACGAAAAGTGAAATAAATGAGACGGAAACGGAATCAAGTAACAATAGATTCCCTGAAACATGAGGAAATACGAACATGTGATGTTAAGCATTTGAACACGCCGAATCGTGCACGCTTTTAAGACCTTAATGTACTCACATATTATCCGCGTATGCAGTTGCGAACACTGTGGCATATATATAGGTACAAACAGCCCCTCGCCGCCTCTTCACATGGAAAGGCCAAGGTGACATTTAGATTTCCCCCTGAGAATCAATACCGCGATATTTTATAATTATTATCTATTTATTAATTATGGCGTATGTCGTCTGGGGACTTGGAAACAGCTCTGCAACCGATACAGTCAAAGCGTTTCGTGAACGGGCATATTTCATTACGAAACCCTGCACAGAGAGTAAGCGTCCGCTGTGTTGTAATGTGCCAGGGTTTGCTATAGTCTATAGTTCACCCGGTTCGGTCGATAACACTGTATGTACTACATACATAGGCTCGGTATGATTGTCGACATTCAGCAGGGTGAAATGGTCACAATGACATTAAACGTTGTTTTATATCGATTACTCACCAATACAGCGTCTGTCCCCACACTGCCTCAAGTTCAGGACGAGTTCCAGATATGCATCCAGTTCCGTCCGCTCGGGTACTTATATAGACGAGTACTTGTAAACACTTCAATACGTTGGTTTTGATCGTTTTGTAAAAGAACTGACCCAAGGGATTTGGCGACGTCCCCGATAGGCGAAGCTATGCATATAACCGCGCTGTTGTTATTTCACGTTTTCAGTGCTGATTGTCGTGGATATAAGTGGTATCGTTATCTGGGGTAAGTCGGACGGGTGCATTACATTATCGGGACATATTATATGACTGCCGCAGAATGAAAGTCGATGACCTCTCTGGGGTTAATCTGCACAGATAAACATCACGTATTTGTACGAGGCCAGTTTAAATATTTAAAAAAATTATCGTTAAATTTTTGAAAACTGACACCGTGGGTGTATAATTTAAAGAGATAATAACTGTTGGTGAAAATCTATTAATTGAAGTAACACTTTCCTGTCACTAATGTGCCCTGTGCCCTCACGTATAAAGGTGACTACTCTAGGCTCTAGGGGTAGCACAGTGGTTAAAGCGTTCGCTCGTCACGCCGAAGACCCGGGTTCGATTCCCCACATGAGTACAATGTGTGAAGCCCATTTCTGGTGTCCCCGCCGTGATATTGCTGGAATATTGCTAAAAGCGGCGTAAAACAAAACTCACTCACTCACTCACAATTATAAGTATGTTATACGAAGAAGATTTGAATTTGGCTCAAGAAGGAAACAGACCTAGAAAATCTTTTAGACATTATGAAGGGCGGGGCAAGTTGAGGGGAGGTATGGTCATGCGGAGCATTACATTCTTTTAAAACAAAATTCATGAAAAATCACGCTCAATATTTCTTTTCATCTCTCAGCTTTTTGCACTGACCATGAATTAAATCATTCCGTTAGACTCTGCGCTACCAATTGCAAGACTCGTGAGCAGTCACTTGCCTCGTGATGACCGAGTTTTTGACGTACGGGGCAGGACAGGCGTTATCAGATATCTCATTCAAGGTTGAATACATAGAATAGGTTGAATGCAGAGAATAGCGCGCTTTGTTGTTCCTTATGAAAACACGCACACACACGTGCACGGAACACTTACGAGGAGACTGCAAAAGGATAATATTACACGTTGTCCAAATATTTGTACGTTATGTATATGTGTGTAGTGGGGTGGGGGTAGAGGGGTGGGGCAGAGGGGTGGGTGTGACTAGGAAAGGGAATGGGGGTAGTGATGATTTACCAGCCTGCTTTGTCCGTATCGGTAAGTATACCATAATTAGGCATTTATCCACTTAGTTAATTTTTCGTATTTATATTAAAATCAGAAGCCAACATGAGTAAAACTCTCCATATCAATTCCGAAAATTGCGGATAATATTAAGCACTTTGTAACAGCAGAGAAGGCGATTGTTGCAAATATAAGCCATCAGTTCGGCAATTCCAGCAGGGAACTTAGGAAATGCACGTTGTATTTAAGCGGGGAATATTGAAAAAGATCAGAATCAGATATTTGTTTGTAAAGTAAGACAAGTGAATGAGTGAGTGAGTTTAGTTTTACTCCGCTTTTAGCAATATTCCAGCCATATCACGGTGGGGAAAAGAGAAATGGGTTTCAACATTGTACCCATGTGGGGAATCGAACCGAGTCTTCGGCGTGGCGAGAGACTGCTTTAACCATTCGACTATCCCACCGCAGCTGTAAGACAAGAAAATATGGGCATCTGAGGACAAAATGCATTTTTCATAGGACATTGTGTAATATCATCCATACAGTGGGCATGTCGAGTGTTTGTATGGCACGCTACCAGGCCTACCAAAGAAAACTTTCCCACTGTGCAGAAAAACGCAGAAAAGCCCACATTAATCGTGGAAATAGCAACATAAACATAACACCTCGCTACTGACACAGTAAAAACGGCAACTTTAAATCGCTAAAACTGCATCATAAAACGATGACTGCGAATAATTAGGATTTAGCGACGGGGAGAAAAAGAGTGAGTGAGTTATGTTTTGCCCGTTTTAGCTCTATTCCAGTCATTTCGATATCATATCAGACCCACAAAGCACAAGGCGATCTTATTGTTAACGCGTAACTGGGATCTCATACTTTAACAACTAATTACTATTGTCCTAGCACTAAGAGCGCTTCATCATAGGCAGATCCAGAGACGGCTGCAGGGGTGCGCGTAGTCTGTCCACATTATTTTCCCTACTGCCAAGCCCTCTCTGCAGTGCTAAAGCCCTAAATAAAGCAAGTCTATATTTCCTCAGGTTCTGAATCTCTGGTCTCCTAGGGCTCCTTTTCAATATAAATGGGCTTGTTTGTTACTATCAAAATTATATATATATTCAGAGACAAAGCCTTAGTTTAGGGTGTGCGCAATCACTCAGTTAGGTCCTGGGTTCACATAATGTTACCATTTAACTGAGCGGACGCTTTCACCACTGGACTTCCTTACTTCCTTTGGAGTGAGAATGACACACATTAAATCAACGCATGCATTGCAATTACTCGATCATCTATTTGATAGGTCGTCTTACCTTTAGCTATCTCCTTGATAGTAGAAACGGCTGTGTACTCAGAAACATAAACTCTGTTACTATATACATTATAAACCTGATATAACACGTGTTATGTAAGTACTGTTTTGATGTATTTAGCCTAACTATGTTTATTGTGTTTATACAGGTGAAATGTACATAGGTCGATGCCCTCCATCTTCTTGACAAAGTAACCTAATGTTTCTGAGCTGAACCATCGTGATGACGTCACGCTGTTCTTGTTGCAGTTGAGACAGGAATTCACTGACTACTCAGAACAAAATCTATCGAAGTAAACCTCGCACACTCTCACATGCACTGATGCTTGTCAGTAAAGTAGCCGTGCCCCAAGGTCGTGCAAGCAGGTAGCATGTTTGACACGTGTGCTGTCAGTGTTGACAGCCAATCAATCATCTACGGTTAACCACCGGGACTGCGATGCCTGTCATGAGTGAGTGAGTGAGTGAGTTTAGTTTCGCGCTGCACTCAGCAATATTCCAGCTATATGGCGGTGCTCTGTATATAATCGAGTCTGGACCAGACAATCCAGTGATCAATAGCATGAGCATCGATCTACGCAACAGGGATACGATGACATGTGTCAACCAAGTCAGCAAGCCTGACCACCCTGTCCTCTTACGACAAGCATGGGTTACTGAAGACCAGTTCTAACCCGGATCTTCACAAGTCCCCTGTCATAAAATAACATGATAACAATGCAGTAGAATCTCTAACTTGGGACGACAAACTGATTTTTCGTATTTGGTCAAATTATACAAATAGCATAATTATTAACATATATATATCTAATTTCACAATATACAAACACACTCAGGCGAAGTAAATCGCTAAATACTCGACGACATAGGTAAGCTGACGGTGTATAGTGTCACATAGTGGCTTCCTGTTATGATCACCTTTGCGGTACATATACTTCATGGTTCAGTGATTTTTACTACTTATCATGTCTGAACCCACGAAGATCCGGGTTAGAATTGATCTTCAGTAAGCCATGCTTGTCGTAAGAGGCGACTAACGGGATCGGGTGGTCAGGCTCGCTGACTTGGTTGAAACATGTCATCGTATCCCAATTGCGTAGATCGATGCTCATGCTGTTGATCTCTCTATTGTCTGGTCTAGACTCGAATATTTACAGACCGCCGCCATAGCTGGAATATTGCTGAGTGCGGCGTGAAACTAAACTCACTCACTCACTCACTCATGCATGTCTGTTTGTTGGTGTCCCTTACCACCTGACTATTGCTGTAGTGCTTCCATAATGTAGATGTATTAGGCACCATGAAATCAAAGGGATATATACCCCTAGTAGGACGTGAGGTGAGGTGAAATTGGGTTTAACGTCGTGCTTGAGAATATTTCGCTCATATGACGACGTGCATGCGTGTGTGTATGGGTATGTGCGGCTGCTTATACTAGCCCAGACTGAAGCTGGTTTTATAGTGCTAGCCCACTGAGATACCATGCCGCAGTGAAGCATGAATACCCCACTCAGACACATTATACTGACTCCGAGCCGACCAGTCCTTGTTGTACCCATTAATGCCGAGCGCCAGACAGGGACCAACAAGTACCGTATTTTAACGTCTTTTGGTATGACGCGGTCGGGGATCGAACCCGCGACCTTCCGCACTCCGGGCGGACGCTGTAACCACTACACCACCGAGGCGGTCCCCATAGTAGGACGTGTTGTTGAATGCATAAATAACCTATCCCATCAAACCCATGGGATACAGAGCAACCATATACAGAACACGTCGTTTATACCGAACACGCTTATAACGAACTAACGCCTATAACGAACTGTCTTTACGTTTTAATGGAAAAACGTATAACGGACTACGGGTATTACGAACTGAAAATTGTGGTTTCTTTGAGTTCGTTATAACCGTACTTTGTACTGAAAAGGTTCAGCTGTGTCTTTGAGTTCGTTCTAACCGTACTTTGTACTGAAAAGGTTCAGCTGTGTCTTTGAGTTCGTTATAACCGTACTTTGTACTGAAAAGGTTCAGCTGTGTACTTTGTACTGAAAAGGTTCAGCTGTGTCTTTGAGTTCGTTATAACCGTACTTTGTACTGAAAAGGTTCAGCTGTGCAGCTTAGATCATAAACACAGATCGAGTGTCTATATCGGGGACCTGACCTGACACAAGCTGTGCTATCTAACAGTAGTTTAACGTTGACATTGTATAGAGCTGTTGTCAGCAGATTCCACGGTTGTGCGTGATCAGTCGACCTTTGGTCAGACAGTGGTGATATTGGGGGCAACGTTCCTTGTAGGGATGGGTTCAGTTGGGGAGCGCATATGCCTAGTCATGGACAGAAAGAGTGGGTTATGTCAGTGCGTGATTTTGTCATTTTGGAATTGTGGGTAAGCCTAGTGGTTAAGCCGTTCGCTCGTCAAGACGAAGACCCGGGTTCGATTCCCCCACTTGAGTGTAATGTGTGAAGTCCATTTCTGGTGTCCCCCGCCGTGATATTGCTGGAATATTGCTAAAATCGGCGTAAAATCATACTCTCTCACTCACTCTTAGGACTGAAACAGAGGTAACGGAATTGGAACTGACTCATTCTGTTTCAGCCATCTAGCATCCAACGTCTGGCTGCCCAGCAAGAATAGTATGTAGTTCCCGCTAAAAAGACCTCAAATAGCATAACCATTATAT